GGACCAGCATTCCCTGTGAGCTGGGCACTTGGGCAGCCACCCAGTGGCTTAGCAGAACTGGCAGCAGGTGTTTCTCTTGGTGGTGCACATCCACACATGCCGTGGTGCATATCACAACATTTATTCCGCACAGGCTTGAGAAAAATTAGAGGGACCATTGATAGGGACAGCCCCAATATTCAGGACTTTGTTTTATGTATGGACCAGCATTCCCTGTGAGCTGGGCACTTGGGCAGCCACCCAGTGGCTTAGCAGAACTGGCAGCAGGTGTTTCTCTTGGTGGTGCACATCCACACATGCCGTGGTGCATATCACAACATTTATTCCGCACAGGCTTGAGAAAAATTAGAGGGACCATTGATAGGGACAGCCCCAATATTCAGGACTTTGTTTTATGTATTACCTATTAGCTCCCACTCCTGTCCTGATTTTTCACACTTGCTCTCTGGTCACGCTGTCATCACCCCCCTTTATTCTGTCACACACCGATGATGTTCCTTGGCCCATGATGTTCCGTGGCCATTATAGGTATGAATCTCTGATCGATCAGTGTCTGTCCATGATGCAGCAAGTACCGGGGAGCAAGGATTTCTGGGTTCTGTTCCCAGCTCTGAAGGAATCTAAGGCAGCAGATAGAGAAGGAGACTGAGAGTTGAGGCTCTGTTCCCGTCTGCCCCCAACTTAATGTGTGAGCCTAGACAAGTCACTTTGCTCTCTTTCTGCCTCAGTTGACCCATCTATAAAATAGGGGTAACGATAGCTGGCTGTCAGATCTGATTTCAGGGTTGCATGAAGCCCTAAGAGCTTTGGTAAGACTCCTGGCTTGTTCTGTCTCCTCCACAGGAACACGGACCGAAGCTAAACAAATCCAAAGAGCACAGTCTCTGCTTCTCGGAGGTAGGTGTCGGGGCATCTCTGGGGAAGAGAGAAAGGGGAAGGCTGCAGCTCATGGAAACATGAACCTGAGGCTGCTTGGTGTGCTGTGTGCATGCCAGCAGAGGCACGGGTTGGAGCCAGGTTCTGTTACAAATGAGGAATTAGAGAAAACGGCCAAGCCTTTAAAATCACACAGATCTATTCCTTCTCTGTTCCCACATCTCAGGGGCTCTATTGATCTGAGTCCCTAGCACATACTCAGCCCATTTTGCTGGCCCCACAACACATGCTAACCCATAAGGATTTGTCTACATTTACTCGAAGATCAGTGCTCCGGTGATCGGTTTTCCAGGGTTCAATTTAGCAGGTCTAATACAGACCCACTAAATCAAATGCTGAGGATACCCTGTCAACTGTGGTAATCCTCGCAGTCATGAGGAGTAGAGGAAGTCAACAGGAGAGTTTCTCCCACTGACCTCTTGCGGTGGGGCCACCCTAGAGAATCAATATAAAGTACGGCAACTCCCGCTACGCAGTTGTCGTAGCTGGAATTGCGTATCTTACATCGATTTTTCTCTGCCAGTGGTCTGATTACAGCCTGATTCTGCAAGGCTCTGTAGCTTCAATCCTATATGCCCAGTCTGAGTTTGTATGTCTATGCTCCAGTTTTACAGCCTGCAAGCTCAACAGGGCAGGCACATGTGTTTAATTGCTCTGAAGACCTACCCATCGCCCAGGTCACCTGGAATCTAGGCATTGTCCAGGCAATAAAATAATGGGAACCTGAAGGGGCCAAGTGTCTTGCTGGAGTGTGCTCAGTATTTGAGGCGTTGTCTGTGCTAGAGAATTGAACTATTTCTCTTCTGCTGGATTAAGCATAAACGGTTTAGCGTGTCCACATGAACCCAGCTGAAACGGTTTAAGGACCCCTGGCGGGTTTGCCTCCCATCCATACTAAAGCAAGGCAGTTGCTATGCCTGCTGGGTAGCTCTCCCACAGTTCTCATCCAAGTTTCTAGCCGCAGTGCATTCTGGGAGAGTTCCCAAGGCTACAGGAGCACCGTAGGGGAGAAGCGGGCGGCACTGCATTCCTATTCAGCTCGACTGGGCGCACCAGTTGGCGCCATAACATCCGTTATGTTCTGTTTAGATCTGCTGTAGCCGAGCTCACTCAGCACAGCAGCAGTGACCTGGCAGCTTTGTGAAGAGCCGGCTGGCGAGCTGTTTTTTTCCTCCAGCGTTTGAAACGCCGATGACATTTTTAAATACCAAAAGTGGAAAAATTTTCAGGGCAGTTTCGAAAATGTCACCTGGTTTTTTTCAACCCATTCGAGAGAAAGAGTGACATTTTCAAAATTTATGAGGAAATACCCCCCCTCCCAGGCCGAATTTTGGGGAAAAAACAAATTTTGGAAATGAAAAATTCAGTTTTGAAAAAAAAAGGTGGCAAACCAATTATTGAGAAAAAATGCAAAAGAGCTTTTATAACCACCACAGGATGGATTTGAACCTGTAACCTCTGGATCTTAGTGTAGGTATCAATACACCTCAGCTTCAGCTATAGAGCACACTCATGCTTATTGTTTGCTGTACAGGGTCTAGGTGACACTCTATGGGACAGTGTCACCCTACACATTAGGTGTGTGGGTTACACTTTAATTTCTTTGACTCCTCTCCCAAATTTAGAAAATATCAGAAAAAAAATTAAAAGATATTTACCAAACTCACATCTCACCCCTGTAGCCAACCAGATCTGACAACAATTGGTAGTTAATTTTTTTTTAATGATGAGGGAAAAGCCACTGGACGAAATTGACAAGGGAAGTGGTAGATTATATCCATCTTTGGACATCTTCCTGTCAATATTGGATCCCTTGCTATGTTGCACACAGACAGGTTACTGGGCTTAATGCCGAGTTAACTGGCTGTTGTTCTCTGACCTGGGTTAAGCATGAGATCAAGCTCTATGAGGTAGACACAGTGTTTAGTACAGCAGATATGTTATTCCAAGATCAGTTCAGGAGCTTTCCCTCATGCAAACACAGAGCTCTGCCACTAAACTAAATCTGGTTTCCATTCCTCTGCCCACAGACCCAGCTGACCACAGACATTATGCCAGACCAGAAGACTTTTGTGGACCAGAAGGCATCTGGCGGCCGACATTCAGCCACAAGGATCCTCTCTGCTCTCCCATTCCTTCTTGTGAAACTGGCATTATAAAGGAGAGAGGAAGCGCGTTGTGAAGGAAACACCAACGAAACCCACACTCGCTCACGCGTACACCCCCAAAAACTCTTGCAAGAATTCTCTCTCTCAAGTTGTTTTCTCCCAGGGTTTCTGCTTGTGAGAAATGAAATCAACAAGCACCCGTGCGTCAGACACTGAATGCGCCAGAAGAGAGGTGACGCCAGCCCGGGAAACAGCGACCTCTGGGTGGACATGCCTCCAGGGGATGAACTGTGGTTGTTTTCTTTTATAGGTATTTATGGTTTTTTCCGTTCTGAAGCAAGCGCCTGAGACTCATCAGCCTGGAACACACACACACACGCACGCACGCACGCCATGGATCCAAAGTTGTGAACGGAACTAGGGGGAACAGGTGGAGACCGACTGATGCTTTGGTGAAGGCTGAAGGACAGAGTGGACACTGGCCATGCCAGGATCACCAGAGCTGTTTGCAGGGGGCTGGCGGTAGAATGGAGTAAAGGGCAGAGACCTTTTTCCCTCTCCTCTTGTTCAATTTCTCTTTGCTGCTTGAGAATTCTCTATGTTTAATTCCCACCCCAGGGGAAGTCCGGTATTCGGCGTCCTGAGAGATCCACATGCTTTACATCCCCCCACTCGAACCAGGATGCTGTAGGTGTGGGGGGAAGCCACGAACATTTCACAGGCGGACCGTAAACTCCCCTGCGTGGATGGGCAAACGTAGGATCAGAATGCAGGCAGCCGGCGACCCCACGGATTCTTTCGCCAGTTCCAAGGAGTGGGCCTCTTGAAATCTTTTCCTTTCCCAGGATTGATGAAAATTTTAAAATCAAAGAAAAAACCCACCTTTCACCGTGAAAAGAATGTCCAGTGTTTCCTAATGGCTCTTTCAATGGGGATTTTGTCCTTTCTCCCGTTGGGTTTGGCTTGGACGGGAGGGGCCATCCATGGATGGGAGCCTATGTATGTTATTCTCTTTAAGTTTTCTTTTGTTTTATATATACATATATAGTGTATGTATATAGAGACCACCTATATCTACATATATGTATGTATATACATAACCATATACATATACGGTGTGGCTTTTTTTTTGTAATTCCTTTCTTTCTTTCCTTTTTTTTTTTAATGATCAACCAAACAACAATGACAAAAATGTATTATTGTAAAATTTATTTTTTTTAATAATGTCTATAATGGAAAGAAAAATAAACCAAGAACAAAAACAAAACCTTAATGCTCCCAGCCTCTCGCGGGGCTGCGGGAACCGGAGAGCAACCAGTGGCTAAAATAAACATCCTAGGAAGCAAACGGCGTATTGTTCCATTCAAAGCGCCTGGGGGGGCCTGTTTTGGTGATATCTCTGTGGCCAGAGCCCCCCCTTTCACCCCGGCAAGTGTAGCAGCTGTCAAGGAGCGGGACTCCTATGTGGTCATGTGACGCTAACATGGTGCGACTCACTTCCCCGGCGCCTCCTGCTGGTCACTTGAGAATTAGCGCTATTCCGCCCTGGGGTCCCCAGTGCCCTCTGTTACTTGTCTATATGTTAATGGTTCTGCCACCTTACATTGGGACCTACATCCCTCAAGGAACCCCCCACGACCCCTATATCCACCTTGTCTCAGTGTCCCATGCCCAGCCGGCATCTGTTCCCTTACCTCAGGGGCAAGCTGCTGTCTGAAATGGCCACTTATCATTGGCAAGTGGGGGGCGGCCCGGATGCCTTCTATCCTGGCTGTCCTCCTGCAGCCCTACTGCCCCTCCGGCCCTGCCTCAGGCCCTCCCGCCTGGGAGCGAGGTCAGGCCGCAGCTCCCCAGCTCTGCCTGCCTTTCCCCAGCCCTGCCCTGTCTCAGGAAGTCTCCAGCTTCCCTCCCGGCCAGATCCCTCCTGCTCCCCAGATGGAGCAAGAGTGAGCCAGTCTTCCCTCCCTTCCCGGAGCGCTCATTTACACAGCCCTCAGCTGGGTCCTCGTTGGCTTCTACCTGCCCCTGCTGTCTGCCCCACAGCCCTCTCCCAGGGCTGGACTGAGCATTTGTACGGCCTGTGACACAATCCATGGATACCAGAAGCAGATGAATTTTGGCAAGGGCAGGGGAGGGGAGGGGCCAGCATCTGGCTCCGGAGGCCCCGGCTTTGGGCTGGCACTTTGCACAGAGTCAATTTTCACACCTTGAGCACCTGCCTCGCAAGGTGACTTCCCCGGGACAGCGCCGCAGCCCAGCCTTGGTCCCGCCCCGCCGGGGGCTGGATGTGATGCTCGCGTGGAATGAAGCCTGAGGACCAGACCTCCTTGGGGATAGCAGCCAGCAGGTTCCACAGGTGCCCTCCTGCAAGGAGCAAGCCGCGAAAGGGACCGTGTTACTGATCAGGGCTCCCCGGGGCCGGGAGCTGCCCATACTCAGAGTATTCTCAGCTTGGGTACGTGCCAACGCTGCTCAAGCTTGCCAAGGGGCTAGGGTGGCACGGAGGGCACTCAGGCAAGCTGCCCAAGGCCACACCTATCTGAGAGCCTCGGTCCCTACTGCAGCAGGCGGCTCGAGTGGCTATTTTTAGCATGCTCACTCCAGCAGAGCTAACGCCTGCACGTCTACCCAGACTGGGAATTACACCCCAGTTACACCCATCAGGAGAGGCAGAGCCTGCCCCCAAAGCGCTGACAGTCCAATCAGCCATGGGCAACCCAGGCTAGTGAGTGGGCCACATGAGTGCCCCATCTCCATCTCAGTGGGCAGGAAGATGGAAGGAACTGAGGCAGTCTCCCTGGATTGGGGGGGGCAGGTTTGCTCGCTGCACTGGCGTCCCTAGACTTTGCAGGGTGCCGATTGAACTGTGGCAGCACTGGGATTGGCTGCAGGGGGTCGCCCGGCTCTCAGAGTCAGTGCTGTGTGCGATCCGCCTGCCCCTCCCTCCACCGGCCATGGCTGTACGTGCCTGTCACTTTAGTAATATCGGTAGGAAAAAAATGACACGGATGGAAACCAATAGAATCTGGCAACACTGCACATTGCAAAACTATCCCACAGGCCACTTATAGAACCCCCATGGGCCCCTTGTGGGCCACAAAGTTGCCCACCGCTGGCCTAAACAAACAAGACCAAGGGGGGGATAAGTGAGTCACCCAAGGTGATGCAGAGGCCAGTGGCAGAGCTAGGAGCTTCCTCCCAGAGCAGTGTGCAACACTTAGGACCTCACTGCCTCCTGCTGTTTGATACTTCTGGGTCAGGAGCTACCACTCTTAGGGCAAGTGGGATTCAGTCGCGCTAACCCCGTTACCTGCTCAGTTCTCCTTCCCTTCCCCTACCTTCCTGCTTTCTGGGCAGGAGGATGCAGAGAGCAAAGCAAGCAGAGCTCAGCCCGGTTCCCCAGGAGCGGGCTAGCACCAGCTATTTCGAGGGGAGAAATAAAAGCCCCCTTTGGAATCTGGCAGACCTGACGTGGCCGTTGCCAAGGGGAAGAGAAATCTGCCATGTCGCTCGCAGGAGCCGCTTTGCAAACTCTGACTGCTCTTTAACATATTCGCTTCTGTAACAGCGAAGGGAGTGACAGGCCCTGCGAACAGGAAGCCAGCTGTGCGAAGCCCTTTGGGGCTGGAAAAGATCAGCAGCTAACCAGGACTAAGGAGGACAATGGAGAGGCCGTAACTGGAGACCGGACATGGGGGGTGTTCAGGGCCAAAGTTTGTCTGCCTTATGCTGGCTAATCGCTAATGAAATCACCAGGACTGGGGGCTCAGAAAGCTCTGAAGGATTTTTGCCCTTACGGCTGATTTTTCAAAAGGAGAAACAACATGGATTGGGTCTTTTTTGGGGGGGATGGGGACAGGGAGGGGAACATGAACTTTTCCCTGCTTGTGTTTTTTAA